TTTTTAGGACTGAACATGGTCCCTGATTTTTACTGAAGGGTTCAGGTTTTATCAGTTCCTTAAATGTTTCATGTGATGAAGAGAAAATGTTTGAATCCACGTTCAGTCAGATGTTCTGTTCTACAGAAACTTTCACAACCTTTTCTTTTTTTGGCTCAAATCTCACTGAGCAGTGGAAATAAAATCTACACTTACAGTTCTGCTGTTGTCACACTTTGTTGAATAATTCAAACCTGTTCTGGGTTTCTTTCAGCCTGAAGCCTTTTTGTTTGGAGCAGATGTTTCTGCTTCCACAATATTCACAATGAGACGTCTGTGTTTACCAACAGCTAGTTTGACCCACTCTTCATACAGGATCCATTCAGGCGTGTGTCCAACTCAAGGCCTGCGGGCCAAATCTGACCCGAACATTTTATATTTTAAATCAGTTCTATCACTTCTTCCTTTGGTTTAAAATAAATGAAGCTTGTACTTGATGCAGCTTAGAGGCCAACAGTAAAGCCACGAAAAACAGTTTTCGTAATTTTTCATTTTGTTTAAAAAGAGCCACGGAGAAGGTCAAAGTGTTAAACGTGCAGCTGAAAAAAGATGTCAGACTGATTGAAGCAGAATATGAGTCATTTAACTAATTTACTCTTGTTTGCTTTAAAGTCAAATGATTGGATTTTTAGTGAGGGTTTAGTGTTATTTCAAACGTATCGTTAAGGAATAGAAAAAGTTGTAAGGCACAATGAATGCTAATGATGTGTCTTTCTAAATGTAATATTTGTTATCTGTGCATTGCATTGGATGCAATGCACTATTGTGATTCATTTCCCATCCAAGTCATCTCCACTTTGGCACACTTCTCCTGCATACTTTGTCCTAGAGCTGCCATTGTAATTTATATCTAAAGCTCCTGTGCCAAATGATGGCTATGCTTTTTGGTGCCTGCACAACTTATAGCTTTTGAAATATTAATGTTTAATAAATTATAATGGGACTCAATGGAGCCTTGAATTAGTCCAATACTTCCCCCTGCTGGATATACTCAATACTGAGCCATAGTTTAATAACATTTAATCTCAATAGTTCAGTGTTTACAATACTAATATGATTGTAATTTGATGTTTCACTATAATATTGTCCTAATATTGCTCTATTGTAATATACTGCAGTTTAGTGTCAACAATTACATTGGCAATGGTGCCTCTTTCTACACAGAGTTAAAAAAAAAACACATGGACTGTATCTTACCACAGCTCCAATGGTCTCATGGTCAATGCCATGGGCTTTCATGTGGGAGTTCAGGGTTCAAAACCCAGCTTCAGCTACTTTAAGAAAAAATCTCTTCAAACTTCATATCGTTGCACAATTACCCTCCTTACAAACACCTGCTGACATGACAGGCACAAGCTGGTATAGAAAACACGTTTGAACTTGGTCACAGTTCATTCAGCAAGTCCACTGCTGCAGGCAAAGCCATGCTGCAATGACATACTACATGGCAATGCACACTTGTTTTTACATCGTAAAACCCATGTCTAGTTTTATTTAATTCACCCAACACAAAATATAACTGGGAAAAGGTTATTTGTATTTCTCTAAGCATAATTTGTTATATTTAAGTTTTTTTCCCCAATAAATATGTATGAAAATGGCTCTCGGCTTGAACCAAGTTTTTAATTTTATCCCTGCTGTGTGATAGTTGCTTGGAAATGGTCTCAAAATTTATCTGTGAAGATCCCATTAGTCC